CAGTTTCGATGGGCTCACGGGCCTCAACAGTTGGCTTATTGGGAGAAGGCGTACCGCCGTTGGATAGACAGCGCTTTGACCTTGTTAATCCTGATTACTGACAAGGAAGTGCGACCAGATGTTAAAGGATACAAATGCAGATGCGCGACCACGGTTGCAACTACACTTTGACATGGGTAGGGCAGATGCGATTTCAAGTATGAAAAATCATGGCTGACATGCAGATTGCCTCCTTCGGCCACTTGCAGCAGGATTTAGGTTGGACAAAGTGAGGATATGTGCATGGTTGGCACACCTGCACGTCTTTTAAGACGGGGCCTCAACTTAGAGCGCTGAAACATCCATTTTGACAGCAGTACAACATCGGATTTCTACAGCGAGGAAATCTGTTGCCTACAAAGATGGAAATCCGCTCCTAAGAACAGTGCTCTAGCATACTCCTGTCTTCCAGATATTAAATGATGAAGACTTATTGCTGTCGTCGTGCTGTACAGATTCGAAAAGAGCTGAAATTCGCTCTACGCGGAGAAGAACCCTCATACCATACCTCGGAAACATCATACATTGCTCTTTGCTTATACTCGGCGCCTGTCACGAAAGGTGTCTGCTCCATCAAGGACGTCACATAACGGAGTGGACCTACAGAGAAGCAGGTTATTGGATAACAGGAGGCAAGCGGTTGATCTTTCCATCATCCATAAATGTGTTCACGTGTCGCAATTGAAGGCAACTCTGTTTCCAAAAAATGTCCGAGTATCCACCGATCGTCTCAGCCAGGCCCCCCATTCAACGGACGGTTGGAGTCTGATTGCTTTGGCCCCCGTGGCAGTACGTGACGCGTCCCTCGGGGTGGACCAAGCAAATAGTAAACGATGGGCCGTTATGTTTACGTGCCTAGTGTCTAGAGCAAAGTGCACATCTGAGGTGATGAAGAACTGGAGCTCTTCTTCTTCATAAATCGCTCAGGCGGTTTTGTCGCCTAGAAGAAAGTGAAGCTTTTCCGTTCTGATAGAGGGACAAATTTGTTGGCTGTACGGAAAGCATAGGCTAAAGTAATTACCGAGAGCGTTGGAAACATCAAGGCCTATTCCTCATTCAGACGACACTACCTGGATATTCAATCCTCCACATTATATCACACATAGGAGGAGTGTTGGAACGCATCGATGAGCTTGACTTACGCAAATCTAACTACCTTGCTCTTAACACACCAGTGCATGATGTCTCACCCACGAGGATACTAACACGTTCTCGCTGAGGTCACTGCCATCATAGAACTCACATCCTCTAGCTCCATTTACCTTTCCTGATCCACAAAATCCTTATCCGTTCGACTCTTCCGTCAGTGATTCTACCCAGAAAAGTGACAATATCACACAGTTGTCATCCCTTTCGGATATAGAAATAATTGTACCAAGCCTCAATACAAGCGAGTACAGTTGTTAGCAGACCTGTTTTTGGAAGCGTTGGAGTGTTGAGTTTTCTGCACACATTGCAATGTCGTCGGAAGTGCGACAGAAGACCAGCGAAATATGAAGCCAGGAGATAGTTGTCTTCCTGAAGAGACACAGGACGTCATTTAGGAATTCCGTGGGCCCACTGTGTGCTAGTTCGAGTGCTGCCAGCGCGGAGAGAAAGTCGCCAGTTCCGCAGAGGTTCTGGATCATCGCAGAGAGTGGGAGACCTACTGTCGTACACCCGACCTATTACGGAAACTGGTGTTGCTGCGTCCCAGTGATAAGTTGACATTGGGGAGATCAAGATAGATGTTTATTTTGCGTATATGGATATTTTTGTATAGCTAGAAAATACAGTCTAATGAATAAAACTACAGAAATAGTTTGTGAAATGCGGACTTTCGTGTATTTCTTTGATAATCATCGGTATGCGAATGCATACTTGTGACACATATATCAGGCGGGAGTGTTCGGTGTTCATCGCAGCAGTATTTACTGTCGTTGTTACAGTACGTCTTTAGTAATTGTGTACCTCGTTTGAATAATCAGTTACGTGGTGAGTGCGCCATCATGGTTGTGATTCCCGCGTCTTACTATAGTGCTAATCTTTGTGATGTAAAGCCTTTGCTTTTCGCGCGTTCACTACTGTCAGTGTCCGCTACGTTGTGTTCCCGTCGAGCCGTCGCACGCCAACGATGTAAAGTCTATTTAGTCGCTAACTTCTACTGCAGTGTTATTATAATCTTCAAAAGCATGTGTTCCTATCATAGTTATATCGTAGATGGTAGAATAGGTTGTACGTAAGTCTGATAGTACTTAATATACATTTCATTGGATTTATATTAATCGCGGCTGGGTTTTCTAAAAGACACAATGTTTACATGGGCTAACGAGCTGCACTACTGTAGCATGTTAGAGTAAAGAACGTATTCTCTGTATTTCACTTTTAGTTTTCCACTGAATAACTACTGAATACTAGACATTCTGCTTTCGTATCTCTAGTCTGATGACGTAAGGCTCTATTTCATATTTTGCCAATACCTTTGCTACCCATATTATTATGAAACATCTATCGTAATAAATGATGATGATAATAAATGATAATGATCATGAATGATAATGATAATGAAATATTATGATAATAAATGATAATGATAATAAATGATAATGATCATGAATTATTATGATAATAAATGATAATGATAATGAAATATTATGATAATAAATGATAATGATAATAAATGATAATGATCATGAATTATTATGATAATAAATGATAATGATAATGAAATATTATGATAATAAATGATGATTCCAAACAACATGAAACTTAACTATACAATTAATGAAAGTGTCAATAACACTGTATCTCACCTTGGGTGTGATAGAAGAGGGAGGGGGGATATATAAAGCCAGAGTATATATGGGATAACTCCCTTTATATAGCATAGCTCACATTATATACTCTTGATACTGATGATATATGAGTAATTTTTGATGCGAAAATAAATGTTTCAGATCTGTTGGCATACAATCTGATGGCGTTGACCGTAGGCAGACACTGAAATGCATAGTAAAATTGCCAAAATCTACCTAATTTGCATAATTTCAAAAAAATATAAAAACCTGTGTGATATGTTTTGGGGCCAGTCCTTATTCATTCACATACCAGAAATAAGTGACTTATGGCCATTTCCATTTTTGCCAAAAAGTGGACGTCGTTTGAAAGTAGGTCGACTGGCGTGCTCCAAAATAGGACGTTCAAACCTCTCCCATAG